TCACAAAAGCTCCTCCCATAGCGGTAATAATTGCAATCTTCTGGCTGGCCGTCGTCGCTCCACCTGCATCAGCAGCAGCCGACGCCACCCCCGCGGCCGCCGCCAGTCCACCGGCGCCGGAGGACATACAGGACAGCGTGGTGCCTGCCACGTCGCCGCCGGTAAAACAAGACGCCGAGACCGACGATCGCGCCCCGAAGCCCGGGACGGGCGTGGGCGGGCTGGTGGACTCGAAGAAGGGCTCGTGGTGGGCCTACATGCACGTCCACGTCGTGAACGAGCTGAGCGGCGGGCGGGCCGTGACGGTCCACTGCAAGTCCAAGAACAACGACATGGGGGTCCACGTCGTCCCGCCCGGGTCCGAGTACCAGTGGCGGTTCCGGCCCAACATCTTCGGCAACACGATCTTCTGGTGCCACGTGGCGAAGGGGAATGTGGAGGTCGTGTTCGATGCGTTTAACGAGGAGGATAAGGATCCCTGGGAGAGGATTCACATGGACAACACGTACTGGGTCGCCAGGGACGACGCCGTTTATCTCCGGCAGTTCTGGAAGAACAACAACATGGTTTTCTGGCGTAAATGGCCCTGATTATTCCGTATAGAGCATATTAGGGTTAATTGCAAGTTTGGTCACTCGATTTACAAAAAACGTTCATGTTTAGTCACTAGAAATATTTAATTCCATTCGTGGTCACTAAAATCAGTTCAATAATTCAAGTTTGGTCACTCTCCGTCCAACTCCGTTAACTTTTGCTGATGTGGCAGTCAACTCTCATAGTTGACCGTTAAATGAATGACGTGGCAATTAAAAAAATAATTAAATAATTAAATTTAATCTTACATTATTTCCACTTCATTTTCACAATTATTAGAAAAAGAAAAACCCTGAAAAATAAGGTAAAATAAAAGAGAACTTCTATTATCCCGCACGTCGACGGGTTTCCGGCAATAGATCTCTTCACCTCCTCTCTTCTCCATCCGGATCTTCCACCCATAATCGACCCCCAACCCTCTCGCCTCAGATTCGAAGCTCCATTCCAAAGGTAAGCCCCTCAACAACAACAAGCCCGCTGCCCCTCAACGAACGGATCTCGATGTCGACAGCGCCCGGAACTCGCTTGTCTCCGTGCTTGGTTTCGCGAACGAAGAAGGGAGAGGAGCTAGAGCTGCTTAATTGTTGTCGCTACTTGTTTTAATATGGATCAAGAGGCAGAGAGAGAGATGGAACCGTCCGGAAGGCACACTTGCGACCTGGGTACATTCTGTATGGGTTCGGGTTCGATTCGGTGAACGATGATTATAAGCTGGTGAGGATGGCAAATTTCATCGCATGAGCAATTCCTGGAAGATGATTTTGGATGGGGCTTTCTCGGAGCCTAGTCCGTCCACCCCGCGCCAAAAAAATTGCGACTGCTCGGCAACGGCGAGGAGGAGCAGGAGGAGGTGAACGTCGACAAGGAAGAAAAAAAGGCGGCGTTCGATTCACGTCGCAACGGCGGAGGCGTTCGATCGATGTTGAAGAAGCTGTTGTTAATAGGCGGCGGTGGTGGGGAGAAGAAGGCAAGGAAGAAGGGAGTGCGTCTGACGGTGTACATCGGCGAGGAATTGCAGCGATCCCGCTCTGTATCCGATTCTTGCATAAGCCCTTGCATTAGGTTTTGCATATATAGGAGTTCTCGTTCCATTGGGTGCTGCCTTAGAGGGGTATGCTGGGCTTGAAGAATTAAATTGTCTCTTTTGATTTTGTTGCTAAGAAGTTTGATGAAATGACTCAGCCTGAGTATGAGAATGAAGATATGACATATGAGCTATCAAGTTTTTTTTTTTTTTTACAATGAGCTACCAAGTTGATGTGGGGTTCTGAGAGAGGGGCAGCTGCCACGAATATATCGGGCGACGGTAAGGATTTAGGTATTATAATTTTTTTTTGTTTTATTTATTTAAATTTATTGTGCAAATGAGGTGGAAATAGTAAATATTAAATTTAATTATTTAATTATTTTTTAATTGCCACGTCACTCATTTAACAGTCAACTATGAGAGTTGACTGCCACATCAGCAAAAGTTAACGGAGTTGGACGGAGAGTGACCAAACTTGAATTATTGAACTAATTTTAGTGACCACGAATGGAATTAAATATTTCTAGTGACCAAACGTGAGCGTTTTTTGTAAACCCAGTGACCAAACTTGCAATTAACCCGAGCATATTATATAGACTACTATTTTTGTTTCGTGGGATATTTTACGTAGTACATCAAATCGGCTTGTTTTCGACATGCATGTACGCTCTGCTAAACCTGTGTCATAGGTTAGAGACCGAGCACGATTTGGGCATTCAATTTTGATAATGCTGGCAAGGAAAGATTTTTTTTTCTTCTTCTTCTTCTTCCTTGTCCATGGCAAATTGGTCTACATAATTTATTTCAAAACAAACAATTCGAGAAAATGGGAATTTCGAGTGATTTTTTCGAGAGGTCATTTTAATTGAATTTGGAAAGGCTGCAGATTACGAAGTTGGGCTAAGATTATTCTTCGTCAATAATTAAGTCTATTGAGCATATTTTTTCCGAGTCTATTTTTGGAAGATTACAAAGGGGTACCATCACAGTTTTCGAGCAATTTTTTCGAAAGGACATTTTAATTGGATTTTGAAGGCTACAAATCACGGATTCTCCCTGAGGCTATTCTCCGCCGATGATAAAGTCTATTAATCGCCGTTTGTGCAGATTTTTTCAGATGGCATTTCTGTAATTTTTCGGGCAATTTTTTTGATATACCATTTTCTTTGGATATTGAAGGCTACAGACAGATTTGGCCATAGGCTATTCTTCATCGATGATTAAGTATATTGAACACTAATTTGGACAGATTTCTCCCGAGTCCATTTTTGGCCGATTTCAAAGGGGGCCATCACAAATTTCAGACGATTTTTTCGAAAAGACATTTTACTTGGATTTTAAAGGCTACAGATCACGGATTCTGCCTGAGGATATTCTTGATCGATGATGAAGTCTATTAATCGCCGGTCTGTGCGGATTTTTTCACAGGGCATTTTCGTAATTTTTGGGTGATTTTTTTGATAGGCCATTTTTTGGATTTTGAATGCTACAGATGACAGATTCGACCATAGGCTATTTTCACTGATGATTAAGTTTATTAAGCACCGATTTGGGCAGATTTATCCTTCGTTCATTTTTGGCCGATTCCAAAGGGGTATCTGTTTGTGCCTGATTAGTATCCAACGGTTTGCGAGGGTCACGAGCTCCGCACGATCTACGATCGTGGGGGGCGGTCATGTGATCCCTGCAAGAAAGGTCCTCAGGGGGATCTTGTGAACTTCTCCGATGCCAAAGTTAGTAATAGAAAGTGGTAACGTTGTCAATAAGAGAGAAAGAAAGAGTGGTGGTTGGAAGTTACCATAAATGTTGCATATCTGGGGGTATTTATACTCACTTTGGCTACGGCTAGCGCATTTAATGATGTGTCGGGCGTCTTTGGACGCCTCTGAACTTCATGAAATGCACAGGCGGTATGTACCGTTGTTAGTCTCCGTACTGAGATGACTAGGTGTCTGTTAGACCGTTTTGTCGGACGGTCTACCGCTGTTTGACTAGATACCATGTTGGGCGGTCTTCTAGTGTGTCCCAAGACCGTGTACGATGCTTCTAGCCTATGTGTTGTCTTCTTTTGATGTCGGGGGAACAAGTATTCCAATACTTGGCCCAACAGTACCATCAAAGTTTTCGGACGATTTTTTCGAAAGGACATTTTACTTGGATTTTGAAGACTACAGATCACGGATTCTGCCTGAGCCTATTCCCTATTGAAGATTGAGTCTATACTGTGCGGATTTTTCCATAGGGTATTTTCATAATTTTTGGGTAAATTTTTCGATAGGCCATTTTCTTTTGATTTTGAAGGCTACAAATGACGAATTTGGCCACAGGCTATTTTTCACTGATGATTTAGTTTATTAAGAACCGATTTGGGCAGATTTTTCCCGCATTCATTTTTTGCCGATTCCAAAGGGGTACCATCACAGATTTCAAAAGATTTTTTTGGAAGGACATTTTACTTGGATTTTGAATGTTACAGATCACGGATTCTATCTGAGGCTATTCTCCACCGATGATGAAGTCTATTAATCGACGATTTGTGCGAATTTTTATAGAGGGATGTTTTCGTAATTTTTGGGTAATTTTTTCGGTAGGCCATTTTCTTTGGATTTTGAGGGGCTACAGATAACAGATTCTGTCATATGCTATTTTTCACTGATGATTAAGCTTATTAAGCACCGATTTGGGCGGATTTTTCCTAGTCCATATTTGCCCGATTTCAAAGGGGTACAATCACTGATTTCAAACTTGTTTTGCGAAGGCCATTTTCCTTGGATTTTGAAGGCTACAGATCATGAATTCGGCTTGAGGCTATTTTTCACCGATTATTAAGTCTATTGAGCACCGATTTGAGCGGATTTTTTCCTGGTCATTTTTGGTAGATTCCAAAGTGATACTACCAATGATTTCGGCCAATTTTTTTAAAAAGATATTTTTATTAGATTTTGAAGACTACAGACACTACAAGAAACAACTTCTTTGCGATGGAAGGAGTCGTTGCAAAGGGTTCAAAATTCCGCTAAAACTTTAAGCTACGAAAAACAGAGTCGCCATTGGTGTTTTCCTAGCATCGCATCTAGATCACGGATTCCAAAGTTCGACAAAGATGGAGCAGAAAATCAACCCCTCACTATGAAAACAAATAAAGAAACCCCATAAACTAGACCCAACGGGCAAAACGGATACAAATTAAGTTGATTGGATTGGGTTATTTGTGACCCATTAACCCTAGCCTGGAGCTCAAATTAGCCACTGAATTTTTCTTGCTAGTTTATAAGGAGTCTGTTTCTTTCTTTCATTTAGTGTTCATATAGCTGTTACGTGATTACTAGTGTTTCAACCGGCATTCCAACTAATGCTATTACGAGCCATAGCTTTCTTAATCCTGTGCGGTGAAGCTGAAATCACTCTACTATTTTCAGTAAACATGCATTTCAAGCTCAACTATAAATACTTCACCAATTTCAACTTCTACATATGTAAAACATTCAAACACATAAAAAAAAAAAAGAGTAACTAGAGAGATAATCAGCCCATATCATCAAAATGTGGATCACAAAAGCTTCTCCCATGGCGGTTGCGATCATCTGCCTGGCCATCTTCGCTCCACATGCATCAGCCGACGGCAGCGCGGGTGCTCTGCCGGAGGACGTACAGGACACGGTGGTCCCGGCCACGTCGCCACCGGAAAAACAAGACGCCCCGACCGACACCGGCGCTCCTGCAGGCGGGCTGGCGGACTCGAAGAAGGGCTCGTGGTGGGCCTACAGGCACATCCACATCGTGAACGAGCTGAGCGGCGGGCGGGCCGTGACGGTCCACTGCAAGTCCAAGAACAACGACATGGGGGTCCACGTCGTCCCGCCCGGGTCCGAGTACCAGTGGCGGTTCAGGCCCAACATCTTCGGGATCACGCTCTTCTGGTGCCACGTGGCGAAGGGCAACGTCGAGGTCGTTTTCGATGCGTATAACGAGGAGGAGAAGGACCCCTGGGAGAGGATTCACATGGACAACACGTACTGGGTCGCCAGGGACGACGCCGTTTATCTCCGCCAGTTTTGGAAGAACAACAACATGGTTTTATGGCGTCGTTGGCCCTAATTCCACGTAATTGTATCAAAACAAGCACCGCAAACACAGCTAAAACTATTCCAGAAAAAAAGGGGGGGATACAGATAAAAGTAAAACAACGTGTTTGTCAGAATGAATCTTAGCTGGCGTTTAAGTTAAGAGCGCGTCTTCTTTCTTCTCCTGTTCTTTGGCTTCACTGCGTCCTTGAGAGTCTTCTTCACTATGCTGGTTTTTTGTTCTTCTACTGTTTCGGATGAATCTGTTGCTAAGCTCAGAGGTTTGACGTCTTCAGAGGCGTCTTTTTCTTGCATTGCTACATCATCGTCACTGTCTTCGCTACTTTGTTCCGCCTTGGGGTTCGATTTTCCTGCACGTAAATCAAACACGGGATATCCTAACTTGCAGTTTAGGCAGAAACCCGTATAAATCTCCAGGAATGGCAACTATTCACTTCAAAATTATGACAATATGGTGGGCATCTAGAACCCCAGGGGTACTGGAAGAGAGTGAAGCTCCCGCCATCAACCAGAGCATTCATCCAAAGATTTAAAAGTAAACAAGCAATGTACCTTGTGCAGCAAGAGAAGCTTTTAGGAAATCTGGATCAACACCTTGTGTGTGAGGGTCCCTAAGATACGAGATACCGTTTCGGAGTTAGTGAGACAATTTGGTAATATACTAGAATGGAAAAATGACTTGGTTAATTCAACAAATAGTACTCATCTTAGACAGGCTAGAACAGCAAGCCGAGAACCTAAACAGCAATTTTTATTTTGCAAAACCACAAGGGGAAGTTTATGGTATATATTAAGCAGTTGTTTTCAATAGCTTTTATGAAGAAAGAAAATGAAGTGCTGAATTAAAGTATGCTTCATCTGTTATCTAACATAAAGGAAGTGCCAGTAGACATCAGTAGCAAGACTAGAGTGGAGATTGCAGATAATTTCAAATATATAGAGCTACTTACGCGTGCCAAAAAGCATAAAAGAAGCATCAGGAAGCAGAATCGAGGAATCGGTTCGTTCCAAGTTCACCCATTAAGGGTTTGTAGTACAGCAGAACAAGTTAAGATGGAATTTCCAGATGGTGAAACTTACCAGCTTGAGGGCCCTCCAAGAAAAAGAGGAGCATTTCCCTCGGCGCGCTGACTACTGATTTGATCCGATGATCTGGTCTCGCTGCCTAAACCATCATTTTGGGATATGGAGCTTTCGTCAGGTTTTAGCTTCAATCTCTCCATCTGGGCCATTGATGACTCATTTACTCTCTGCCCAGCGAGTTTGTCTTTTTGCCCTTTGACATCATTTTCTATACTAACATTGGCAGCTAAGGCAGTAGAATGTCGCTTGATCTTGCGTAACATTCTCTCCGTGTTGAACGCCTCAACCTACCAAAATAATTTTTTTAAAACAGGCGCACTAAAACCATGTCATCTATACATGCCAAGAATGTTAGATCTTGCTGAATGCTCATTCTAACCTATGAAAACACCTGGTACAAATTCCATCTGTATGATAACCACCGAGTACAAGAACTGAGAGTTGAAAATCTAACTATAGCCTAATTGATTATCTAGAAGAAAGTGATTCAAATACCAAACGTTGATAGAGAACGCCCGAGATTTTGAATTTTGGCAAAGAGAACACTAGACATGATAAACATTAAAGCACAAATTTATTCATCGCATCAATTTGACTGCTTAACCATTATAATGATATAAACTCACGTGATAAACTTTTACAATGAAAAAAAAACTTTTTCCAATGGTCATGAGGTAGCATAACTTTTCCAATTAAAGTTAAGCAAATTCTTTGATTTTGCAAGGCTGACAAAAAAACTCGGCGACCAATTTTTCATGAAATTACAAAGAGTGTCTGAAAAGTCTAACTATTTCCAATCAGTGCTGTCCAATAGGAAAATTATGCCCCAAATCAGTTTACAAGACAGTTTTCAAGATAAATTCAGAAGATATGAAAATAGTAACTGAAAACAAAAAACTTACCGCGTCTTTTATTTTTTTGGTAATAGATTCAGCTTTGTCAGAAGCAAGTCGTAAACATCGCATAATCTCACTCTGTGGCACACCTACTCCTCCAGCTTTTTGAATGGCACAAATATCGCCACTTGCATTAACTGTTACTGTCATACGGCCCCCCATAACAGCCTCCTCGCTATGGGTTGGATCTACCACCTGAATGATAGGTAATGCATGAAATGATTGCACAAAAGATTAACATCATGCTCGAGGCACCATACGGCTGCAATTTTATCAAAAGGACCTCCGGACATTAAGTAGCATACCATGGTGTACTCTGTGCTGAAAAATCCAAAGGTCACTGCTATAGGCAAATGGTGAACTATCAAAGGAAGCGGATCCTTCGCCTGCAGAATGCAAGAACAACAATCAACGGACCACTCAAAATGCCCTGAAGCTTAAAGGTACTAATTAGTAGGGATGGGAAGATAGCCGAAACAGACACAAACTTGCAGTCTAGAAGATTTACAGGCATCCAAATATGAAGAAAATGAATTGACCACATCGAGCTCCTGATCAGAGTCACTGATGAAGGGTCTATTTCACATATTTACAAAACTTCAAATCAGCTTAACAGGAAGAGTTGATCCAGCAAATTAATTATAAATTAAGTAATGTAGAATCTTTTATATCAATTATAGCATCGTTCTTTTTTCTAGTACTCATGAACAATATTCAGAGTTCCTGTCCCTACAAAGTACAACTTTCACTGCAGAAATTATTATCTCCATTTTGAAAGAAAAAAATTATTATATTCACTAAAGAATAAACAAAATATAAATTTAGCTATATTAACCATGAGTCTCTTCTAGTAGTGATCATGTGAACTCTTTCAAGTGGCAATAAACCAGAGAATTGGATGCTTAGTACGAGTCCTTGGAGTATGAACCACAGTGCTACTAATTCTTTTATGATAGTTCAATGCAAGCTATTGCCATCTTTTTCACATTGGAACCATATCTTGATCCATGGAATTTCTCCTGGGTGTCTTGTCTGTTCCTTCAGTCAAAACCTTACATTCACTCATTAAACTCTAGATGGTTTAGATAATTATCTCCTGACATCCAAACTAGTTGCAACAGTTTGAAATATGAAGGTTCCACTGATTGCAACAGGCAAAAGCATACTGTTCGGTACAAGAAATTGCGAAGATAAGTAAGCACATATTTAGTTTAGCTAAGAGATAAAAAAAAGTTAATGTTCTAACCTCAGGTGGATGTACAACCACTTCTTGTCCATTTTCTCCACCTAATGAGCACTCTGGTCTCCGAAAGGTCAACAGGGCAGCTAAAGCAGCCACATTGGCAGCGTCAACAAGATTTCTGTTACCAGGCCATATAAGTAACTAGACCGAGAGGTTTCATAACTAAGACCATAAGCAATGTCTAGAAACCAAAGAAACAAGACCAGAAAGAGAAGATAGAGAGCTCACCCTCCATTATCTAGGATGTGGAGATCAATCCTGATGGCCCAAACTAACTTCCCAGCCAAAACACAAAGTGATTCCATATCCACAGCCCTACTTTCCCTGCATGAATAATTTCAGTTATCCACTGTAATTGTTGTCACAAAGACCCAACTACACAGGTCCACAGGTCTACCTCTCATGAACAATACTAGCTCCGGTGATAATCCATACTTCCTTCTAACAATCCAAAATTAGTTTCAGCCATAAAATTAACATCAACAGTATGTTATATGTACACTGGAGAAGAGAAATACTAGTTGGTTGTTTGCATCTGGAAATGGATATACATTAGATCATAGGGACAACTGAATATGCATACTATCCTACAAGCATAATCTTCCTAATGTGTCAACTTGGACGAACTCAAAAAAGAAAACATGTACCTTAAGCCACGATCAATTATGCGGCCCAACTCTATTGCAGACTCTCCTGGACGGCCTAACTCGAATGAAGGATCGGCCATTGGTGAAAACTCGGTGAAAATCGACATTGTCCCTTCATTTGGACGCTCACGGTAAGGTTGGACAAGTTGACTAGACACGAAACCCATCACATGAGTATGGCCTAGCTGCACATCAGCTGACCCGTCTTCCCTGAAAATTCACGACCAGCAATTTTGGTAATCAGCGCAAAATTCATCATCGTCCATATTAAACCCAGTATCTCATACACAGCTTCCAGCAAGAGAACATGACAGAAAGTACCCAACAAGAAAAAAAAAGAAGGGTCTGAAAATGGGAACAGAAACCTGCCTTCCAAAGTTGATAGTTAGCTTCCGATACTCAAGGGGTTTCCGGCCATCGATTCTCAAGTCGGAAGCCAAAGCAGTCTCGATAAACTTCTTCTCATTTACGGTCAGGCGCCAAGTATTTGCCAGCCGAGAATCCATTGATGCCCCGGCGCAGAAAGCAGGGTATGTAGGGAATGTTGCGAGTTGAGCGGAGATAAATGTGCTGGAACTAACTCGGAAAGGCTGACGGAGGGTTCCCGCCGGTCGGTGGACAGGAAACGGAGGGAGAATAGTCGACGAACCGGAAGCGGCTACTAGGGTTGTGCAGCAGTCTGTTCAGTGCTGCTGCGAGCGCGGTGGGGAAAATTCCATTCTCCTTTTCCCAGATCAGCCAAGTAAAAGTGTGAAGCCCAGGTTTGGGTGGTCCAAACAACAACCGCGAAAATGGGCCTGTCGGCTCTACGTGTACCCGGCTCGGTGCGACAACAAGCCCAGCCAGTTCCGGGTGTATTTGCCGATTTGCATCAAATTTGTGCTTGGATCTCTCTCGTAACCTAATTCGCCATTCCGACTTCCACGTTTCGGCTCCAGATCGCAAAAGCGCGATTTGCTGGCCTGGGAGTTTGCGTAAATATCCTACTAGATAATTATTCACAAACTAACACATATTTGACTTCTAAATTTGTTCATGATGTAACTCAAAACTGAAAAAACACTTTCAACATTTGTCGTACAACCATAAAATCAATACAAATTAATGTTAGCTTGTAATTAGATTAATTGTTAGGTTTTGAAAATAATTAAAGATAGAGAATTGGGTTTTGCTATTACACAGTGTTCAGAATATAACAACAAAAAAGTTGTAGTCTAATGGAAATTATACTTATTAGTAATAGTAGTGTCCCGGGTTTGAATTACCCAAACTACCACGTAGATTCCCAAACGCAAACTACAAACGAGAGTAGTATAATTGTTCTTTCAAATTTCAGGGTGTCCCGGACTATTAATTATAATTATTTTGTCTATACGTAAATAACATCGGAGGTTGGATAGTCGATCTTCCAAAATTTAGGGATCTTTCGGTTACTAATTTTATCTTACCCAATTAGATATGATTCGGACGGATATCCAGAAGTGTGGATATTTTTACATTCCTAAGTTGTTGGGGATCGTGGTGGCTCGATCTTGGCCCTGATTATGGTAAGCACATCCCGTTTGATTTTATAAACTCATGTTCTCCCATTTATCGTACTAATGGAGTTTCTCATCCTATTATCGTAGTGTTCAAACATTTGTGAATAATAGGCGCATGACATGATAGTTGAGTCTAATTTAGACTCAAATTAAAAAGTTGGATATGAGTTTGCCCCAAAAATAATATTTACCCAAATCTTTTTCGACCCACAATAAATTGGGCTTGATCATACCGACAATCTAAGTATATTTTGTCATCCCTAATATACGCTTATATGAAATCCCAAATATTATCTATCTTTGATTCACATAAATAAATGGGGTAAATGACACATTTGGTCACTGAGATTATTAGATTATGTCATGTTTAGTCACTAGAAAAAATTAATATCAATTTTGGTCACTCGAATTACCGAAACTGGTCAAATTTAGTCACTCTCCCGTCAGTTTTCGTCCAACTCCATTAATATAGTTGGACGGAAACTTTTGGGAGAGTGACTAAATATGACATGTTTCAGTAATCCGAGTGACTAAATGTGACATTTTTCAATAATTCAAGTGACCGAAGTTGGACAGAAGCCACAGAAGAGTGACCAAATGTGACCTGTTTCAGTAATTCGAGTGACCAAAATTGATATTAAATTTTTCTAGTGACTAAATATGACACGATTTAGTAATCTCAGTGACCAAATGTGTCATTTACCCTATAACCCTAAATAAATGACAATCTTTGTGTTATACGTCAAACTATGTTAATGAATTTGTGCGAAGATTGTGTACAATAGTCAAAATTGTGTGAGCATTTATACCAATTACCCGCCTTCATGTTGGAGCGCGTCTTCTTTCTCCTCTTGTTCTTGCCTTCTTGGACTTCACAGCGTCTTTCGTAGTCTTCTTCACTCTGCTGGTTTGTTGCTCTTCTGGTTCAGCTAAATCTGTCAGTAACGTAGGAGGTTTAACGTCCTCAGAGGATAGCTTTTCTTGCATTGTTACTACATCACTATCACTATCTTCACTAGTTTGTTCTGCATTGGAGTTCGATTTTTCTGCACGTAAATCAAACATAGAAAAAATCGACATTATTGTGGACAAATAGAACCCCTAGGGTACTAGAAGTGAGTAAAGCTTCCACCATCAATCACAGGATTCATGATTCATCTGAAGTAAGCAAATGTACCTTGTGAAATCTGGATCAGCACCTTGTCTGTGAGGGCCCTCCCTAAGAGAAGTGATACCATCTTCTACACTAACAGTGGCAGCAACTGAAGTAGAATGTCGCTTGATCTTGCGCGAAGCCCTTTCCTTGTTGAACACCTCAACCTACAAGAAACAAATACTTAAAAAACAGGCACACTAAACACATATTTCCGTATATGACCACAGTAGCAATAATGCCAAGAATGTAAGAACTTGCAGAATGCTTGCAAACCTTAACCTATGGAACAAGGAGGGAGGGGGGGGGGGGGGGGGGGGGGGGGGGAAATGACACTGCAAATTTGGATGGGGAGCTGCTACATGTCTAGGTGTTCAAGTAACAAATTGCAGATATACATAATCACTGAGTACAAGAATAGGGTGGTTAAAAATTAAACAATAGCCTAATTGATCATCCAGAAAGTGATTCAATTACACTACAGAATGGCTTCAACATGGAAGTTTTGCAGAGAAAACATCAGGCATGACAAAGATTTAAGCATGAACTTACTGCATCTTTTATCGTTTTCGTAATCAAGCCGGCCCTCTGGGAAGCAAGTCGTAAACAACGCATAATCTCACGCTGTGGCACACCCACTCCTCCAGCTTTTTGAATGGCACAAATACCGCCGCTTGCATTAACTGTTACTGTCATACGTCCTGCCATAACAGCCTCCTCGCTATGGGTTGGATCCAACACCTGCAGGACATGCATCGATTGATCGAATAAGAACTTAACATAAGACGCCCAGCAAACATAAGTCTGCAAATTTCATCACAAGGCTCCCCTGACATTAGTGTTGCATACCATGGTGTTCTCAGTGCTGAAAAATCCGAAAGTTACTGCTATAGGCAAATGGTGAACTATCAAAGGAAGTGGATCCTTCACCTGCAGAGGACAAGAAATCTTTGCAACATGAGTTCCCCTCAACGAAAAAATGGAACCCTTATATCCACGGAGTACATTTTTAGTTTAGCTGAGTGGTAAAGAAGTTAATGTTCTAACTTCTAACCTCAGGTGGATGTACAACTACTTCTTGACCATTTTCTCCCCCTAATGAGCACTCTGGTCTCCGAAACGTCAACAGTGCAGCTAGAGCAGCCACATTGGCAGCATCAATGAGATTTCTGTTACCAGACTATATGAGTATCTAGCAGGAGAGATTACCAGAACTAACACCACAAGCAATTGCTAAACTAGAAACAAAGCAAAGCAACAGAAACAAGACCAGAAAAGTGAGGATAGAGGAGCTCACCCTCCATTATCCAAGATGTGGAGATCAATCCTGATGGCCCAAACTAACTTCCCAGCCAAAACACAAAGTGATTCCATATCCACAGCCCTACTTCCCCTGTGCATTAGTAATTCAAATTATCCACTCTACTGGTTTTCACAATGTTCCCCTCTCTGTCGACTAGGTCGAACTCAAAAACGAAAGCAATTACCTTAACCCACGATCAATCATGCGGCCCAACTCTATTGCAGCCTCTCCTGGGCTGCCTAATTCGAACGATGGATCGGCCATTGGTGAAAACTCGGTGAAAATTGACATTGTCCCTTCATTCGGGCGCTCACGGTAAGGTTGAACGAGCTGGCTAGACACGAAACACATTACACGAGTATGGCCTAGCTGCACCTCAGATGACCCGTCTTCCCTGAAAAATTCATGACAAACAACTTTGATAATCAGCGCAAAAATGCATTCTCGTCATGTGACTCGTGTCCAATAGAACAGCACCGAACCCAGTATCACAGACACAGCTTCCAGCAGCCAGAGAACATTGATGGGAATTTACCCAACAAGAGAGAAGAAGGGTCTGAAGAGGGGAACAGAAAACCTGCCTTCCAAAGTTGATGGTTAGCTGCCGATACTCAATGGGTTTCCGGTTATAGTCATCGATTCTCAAGTTAGAAGCCAAAGCAGTCTCGATAAATTTCTTTTCGTTTACCGTCGGACGCCAAGTATTTGCCAGCCGAGAATCCATTGATGCCTCCGGCGCAGAAATCAGGGTTATGGAAGGCTGCGAGTTGAGGGGAGACGAATATACTGGAACTAACTTTTTCTGTAAGGAGACCCTAGGGTTTTTCAGTACCCGGAAAGGATGACGGAGGATTCCCGCCGGCCGGTGAAAGGGAAACGAACAGAGAATTGTCGAGCTACTGCCTTCTAGGGTTGCGCGGCAGAGTTCAGAGCTGCTGTGCGCGCGAGGGGGGTTTAAATTCCTTTTTTTTTTCTTTCCTTTCTCCTGATCGGACAAGGAAAACGCAGCTTCGGGTGGGTCCGACCAAAAACCGCTCAGATGGGCCAGGCCCAAAGTTGTCAAACCGGTTAATACGAGTGCACTGGTTTTGCAAGTGAACTAATCTGATCGTACTACAGCTGCGGGTGCACTGGTTTTGCAAGTGAAATGTTCAGATGGTGCTACAGCTAGTGTTGATGTTGGGAATTGGTAACTAGTAGTAAATAATTAGATACGTAACATTAAAAGCATGTAAATAATTTTTATTAATTTTTACAATGATTTATGTAAAATACATCATTAGCTATTATTATTATTATTTATTTAATATATTAAAGTCTAGGACTTTGCTACGGTGACATGCATGTCACGGTGACATGCACTTTTCGGTCGACCTCATATAGGATCAGGTCGACCTAATATGTTGTTTTAGTGTAAAAACAGTTTCATGGTGCCTACTTTGGAGATTCATATCTTACAATTGGCTAGATGGAAATTGGATATTAAAGGCTTGTTTTGAAGCTGAAGTGTCCCTCTACACATTAAAGTACTTGGGAGCTCAATAGGATGTCCAGAAGACCATTTTTGAACCTCATCAAAAGGCTATGCCAAAACTGGGAAACTGCCTGAAAATAGCTAAGTCTGGCAACGTGTTTGTCAAGCCTACTTTGGAGCTCAATTTGAGAAGAATGGATGCGAGTCAAGTCCAGGGGCCTCTACCACGTTAAATTACGTATTTTTTTATACAAAGGCAAGGCATTGGATGAAAGATTGAATATCTTTAAGGCTTCAAACAAAAGGCTCAAAGTTGCTACGAAGGCTGTTTTTCTGGCCGCTTGCTTGTGCTCGAAGTCTGCCAGAAAATAGCCTTCGTCGCAACATCGACCCTTTTGTTTGAAGCCTTACAGATATCCAATATTTTATCCAAAGCCTTGAATTTGTATAAAAACATACCTAATTTAACGTGGTAGAGGCTCCTGGACTCGACTCGCATTCATGCTTCTCGAATTGAGCTCCAAAATAGGCTTCACAAACACGTTTCCAAACTTAGCCATTTCCAGGCAGTTTCCCAGTTTTGGCATAGCCTTTTGATGAGGTTCAAAAATGGTCTTCTGGACTTCCTATCGAGCTCTCAATCACTTCAATATGTAGAGGGACACTTTAGCTTCAAAACAGGTCATTAGTCTTCAATTTCCATCTAGCCAATTGTATGATATGAATATCCAAAGTAGGCACCATGAACTGTTTTTACACTGAAACAACAGATTAGGTCGACCTGATCCTATATGAGGTCGACCGAATCCTAAATGAGGTTGACCAGATCCTATATGAGGTCGACCGAATTCTAAATGAGGTCAACCTAATCCTAACTGAGGTCGACCGGAAAGTGCAAGTCACCGTGACATGCATGTCATCATATGCACACCCTAAAGTCTAATATTTGAGTGACTATTCATTAGTGGCCCCCAAACTGCTCTCAATTCACTCACACATCTTTCTCCTAAACTGCAAAATTTTGGAAGACATTCTTTTGTTGCAACCTCACATTCAGTTGCTCTGTCTTGGGATATTATCCGGAGGATCCACACTTATTGTCCTCTAGTTTTTCCATCACAGCCAGGGGCGGAGCTACACTATGGCTCGGGGGGGGCCCGGCCCCCTGAGAATTTCGAAAGTTACGTGTAAGTTGTTCGTGATTTTTGAAAATTACGTATAAACAGAAAGTAAAACATAACAAAGTAGTCACTAATTATAACACATCTACCAGTGCAGCCTAACGGAAGGACATGCTTATACAATCATGGGAATGCTGGTTCGATGCTCATGACAGACATATGTTAACCTTTTTTGTTTTCTACTTGTACTTGGCACGAAAATTTGCATTCCACGTTTTAAGGACTCTTTTGAATATATATAATGAGTTTTTTTCTCTTTTCATTTTTAGCTCTAGAAAATGGTGTAAACTTTGCATTACATGTTTTAAGGACTATTTTGAATATACAATGAGTAACTTTTTTTCTTGTAATAGATTGTACACTTGTACTTGGCACGAAAATTCAATTTTAAAATCAATTAAGTTCTTCAAATTTGCATTCCACGTTTTAAGGACTCTTTTGAATATATATAATGAGTTTTTTTCTCTTTTCATTTTTAGCTCTAGAAAATGGTGTAAACTTTGCATTACATGTTTTAAGGACTATTTTGAATATACAATGAGTAACTTTTTTTCTTGTAATAGATTGTACACATTGATTTTTCAGCTATAAAAATAATGAATATACAATAAGTATCATGTTAGGTATTGGAATATATTATTAATTTTGTTGGTAATTAACTCATTTATAGTCAAAATGACATGATAATTTATTCGTCTTAAATCGTGTTTGAAGTCAATCTAATTGTTTTAAAAAAGTGTATTGGGCAATTTTGATGATTAAAAGTACTCTTTTTAAAGTTGGAATTATATTTTTGTGTTTTTATGCCTCTTAAGGTAATACGAATAAAAAATTTTCGGCCCCCCCCCCCCCGAAGCTCGAATCCTGGCTCCGCCCCTGATCACAGCTATTGTTGGCTAGGTTTTCAGCTATATTGTTCACTATTTTCTCTGTGATAGCTACTATCCACTGAGTTTTCATCTATTGCCTACTTATTCACCCACCAATTTGCATCCCATCTCTAAGCATTGTTGGCGGAATCCTAAGTTGTTCCCCTCTACCGTTTGGCACGATCATTATTGAAGATCCATACAAGATCTGCTCTGCCCAATCCTCGCCTTCGGCCACTAATTCAGAGTCCATCTCGAAACAGTTTCAACGAAATTTAAGTTGTTTTCCTGCACTATTTTCCGCAGGCGCTATCAAATTTTTTACATTATTAATTTCGTCTTCCCGGTATGTCACTAATTTATTGCTCTCTAAGAAAAATATTGCAATATTCAAAACAATTCTAAATTCTCTTTCCATTAAATTCATCGTTGTCATCCCCAACAACAAACTACCATCTATCTATAAAATTATTAAAAGGGTTTAAGATTTGCACCACTGCCACATCAGCGTTAAACTTCAATTAACCTATCCACATCAGCACCCAAACTTCTCTGATCTCTCTCATGCTTTCCTCGGCCCTTTGGGAAAAAAACACCCTTCTCCTAATCTACAAAAACATATAAGGCAATGTCAATAAACAATCACTAGATTGGAGCCCGACCAATGGTCGGGTTCATTTGGTCCATTGACATAAACAACAATTACGATCAGACAAAGTATGAAACATTTTAAGTATCATAAAATAATCCAAATTATTTAATTATTAAAAAAATAAAAGAAACATACATCATAAAATTATCCGACATCCTAACCTATTCATCGACTAAACTAAACAACATATGGATACCCACTAATAACAATGCCTTAATTTTCATCAGCGAAACATATATATCTTTCATCATATAGTTTCTTCCTTCTTATCAACATTATCATTATCTTGTTCAGGTAATGATTAATTAGTGACTATTCTGATGTTATTAGTTATTTTTGGACAATGGATTTATTTAAAGTGGTATTCGTGAGATTAATTGTGTGGATGCGTTGTTTGATCATTTTTCGGGTGGCTTCCAAGTCGGTGTTTGAATAGTATTAGATTTTATGTGTTTTCCTATATATTTGTACAATATTAATTCAGTTACGTTATTAAAGAATAAATAGAAGATTTACCATATCAATAATCTCATTGTTCTTCCTCTATAATCCTTTCAATTTTGTTCTCTCTAAACCGTAATTTTATTTTATATCCCCTGAATTTCTATTAATTATCTTCTAGCCTCCCCTCGTGAATTCTGTAATTTCAATCTAGTCCCAATTTTTCCATGTCCGATAATTTATTGATTTTCATTATTTTGCCTAATTCTCCTTTAATCCAGCCCCAATTCTTCCTCATCTAATACTTTATTTATTTTCATTATTTTTCCTAATTCACCTCTGATCATATCTTTATATTAATCAATCTCGGATTCTAAGATCCTCTCTCTCATCAATTGGTGTTATAGCCTAGTTATCCTTGCACCCAGCACCATCATCTATGTAATTCTAGCCGCCACATTGATTGTTTTCAGCGACTTTGTCAAAATTTACTTGAAAGTTTTGAAGGATATCTCGGTGCGAAAGAGGTAGCAAGTATGAGCTTCGATCATTAAGGATAATAAAAGTACTTTCTGGTTGATGGCAATGTGAATTGGGAATTTTCCATTCATATTTTTTAGTGAGAGCCTTTCTTTTTGTCGTTATTAGTTCATTGCGGCAACTGAAGTGAATTGGAAGTGAAAGAGTGGTCAAGCCTTGAACTGAAAGTATGAAAAGAAGTTCATACAAATTCAGGTTGATTATTTAGGAAAAAATCTTTCAAAGGGGATGGATTGATGAACGATTAGTTAGCTATTATTATTCTTGATGTTATGAATGTTTTCCTATATTTTCTCATATTTTTAGCCATCCAAGCATTCTTGCCCCAAAACCCTATTTTTTTATTACGTCTCCCCTGCATTTCTAATTCTCTTACTCACCATCAATCTAGGTTCTTTCTTGTCCTATAGTTTATTTATCTCATTAATTTTGGCCATTTATCTTTCTACCAATGATTAATTTCGGTGCCAAGATTCTCTCTTCATCAAATCCACTACCTCCACCATTAACAGAGTCTAGTGTCCACGATGTGGTGAGCATGATGTTGAACTTCAACTCCATTGCCTCAATTTTCAGAGATAAGAAGGCGGAAGTCCTCTCATTTTGTCACTGATTTGTAATAGTTTCCAGCAAGACATTCCACTTCCATAGTTTGTAGATTTCCCAACATCAAGGTGAGTGCAGATCAAAACAATGTCTTCTCATATGCAAAATTGATGATCTAGTAATTAACCAAGTGTGTGAACGACATTTAACTGGTATTTATCATGCCTAATAATCTTCACAA